GCCCGCCTCCTACCGCTGGGCCCCCAGTTCCCACATTTGGGGGACTTGTCCGCTTCCTCCAATGAGCTGATCAAATTTTACATCCTATGTTGCCAGAGAGGATTATGGGGCAACTTACATGGTGTCGATCACATGCCGGCGCTGATCCGGGAGGGTGGTTCGAACACGGCCCTTGTGACGGGGCAGAGGACTGGACTCCTCAGTCCCTTCGACCCTGTAGGTGCTCAGGAGAAAGGTTGCCGCGGACCGAAGCCGTATTTTGTAGAGGGGGCGGGAAAAAAACCTTTACACTCAGCAAAGCCCTTTCCCTTTCCTGAGCCTTAGTTTACCCCAAGTGCTCCTTGAGGGAGTTGGTCGAGAGTTCCGGGAAGCATTTCCAGTAGTGATTTCCCTTGCGAACTTTCCTGCTGTCCCTGCAAAGCATCTATCTCTTCGGGGCTACTTGGCAGACTCAGGATTTTAAGAGCATAGTCAGACATTGGTTTTTCCCACTATTCTTGGAAATGCGTGCGTGTGTGTGTGTGTGTGTGTGTGTGTGTGTGTGTGTGTGGTGGGGGAGTGGGAGTTGGTTTTGTTTTTTGGGCATTAAAAAAAATGGACAGGAGAGTTGAGGGTTACTTGTATGGTTGACCCTCAAATGCTGAAAATTCCAAGATAAAAAAGAAAATGAAAACCCACACACGAATTTCTTGCTCTAGTATGAAATTTTGCTCATTTTAGGAAACAAGCTCAATCTTACCTAATTAAAAAAGCCCTAACAATTTTAGCTAGTAAAACATCAAAATAATACCAAAATTAATGAAAGTGGCATTAGATACTAATATTTTTTTCATTGGGTTCAATAGCTAATCCCTTGTAAGGATGTAATCATTTTTCAATGCAAGTAAAATTGCGAAGTATTAAGAGAAGAAAAATGATCACTGAAGTAAGAATAACATCAAAAGGGGGGGTACTAACATCTAATCATTTTTTTTTAATGTAGGAAAGAAAGTTTGAAATTCACAATATTTGTTGCAGAATGTATGCTAAGTCTCCAGAAAGCCTGATTCAGTTAAAGGGCACGAAATTTTTAGGGAAAATGTCTAATAATTCCCAAGGATGAAAATTAATATCTAAAATCATCTAATCATCAAGCTTTGCCATCTTCCTTAAAAAAGATACATGGTTCTAAGTTAAATTTAAAGGAGACAGAGAGGATTGTGTCCTTTCTCTGCAAGCCAGGCTTTTTCACGATTCATTAAACCCTTTTTCCATATGTGTAATTGGTCTCTTCTCATTTACATAAACGAGAGATGAGGCAAAAGACCTAAGATCAACCCAAAAGGAGAGATATGTTCCGTATTCTTCTAAGTTAAAAAATAATGGACAAGAAAACTGGAGGAAGCAGAGTGCACATGCATGTGCACACATTCACACACACACACACACACACACACACACACACACACACAGATCTGAAACACTACATGGCCCAGGAGTTAGCACAGTTGCTAGTGCTTTAATGGTTGCCCTGCACACGATGCCTCACAGTTATTCTCAGAGACACATGTTTTTATTTTATTTTCTCTAATTAAAAAGCTTGGACTGCAATGACCGACAGTAGGACATCATATCCTACTTTCTCTCTTCATTGTTGATTGGGTTAAAAACCAAGAAGAAAGACGGCACTGTTTCTAAAGAGCACAACCCTCTGCTTGGGCTTCAGTTGTCTGGCTGGGATCCTCCATTCAGTTGGTTTCAGCAGCTGATTAATTAGTTAATTAGTACTTAGCGCTGACTACCCCTGGTAGGCAATTTTCATGCCCTGCATGGTGAAATGTTGAATCCAGTATTGAAATTTCTGTGTCGTACACCCTAATTATTATCACCCCACTACTTTTAAAACCATTGCACCAAATTATTATTATAGACAGAGCCAGACAACTGTGTGGGAATATGTTCTTTCTGAGAAATAATGGTAGACTTAATCAATATTATTCACTGTTGCCCTTAACACATTTAAATAAAACAATTGAATGAGAAAATTTTTAATTCAATTAGCGTCAACTCCTTTCACTGATAAAATGATTATATATGGGAGAACTGTTAGGAAAATCCCATAAAAAAAAATGCTTAATGTGTTATCTGTTCCTCAGATGGCAAATAGTGTGTGTCCAAGAGATCCTATCTGAGACTAGTTTTGTTCCCATATAAGTCTAACATGTTAAAAATGGAAAAGAATGGAAAATAAAAACAAAGCCAAAATGAAGGCAGGAACAAGCCACAGACAAGATTATTTTGCTAGCTCTAAGGCAATTAGGCTAGGTGGGGGGGCTTTGAGTGTTTAAAAATTTGCCATGGTTTGGGAATGAGTTTTCTATGACAAAGAATAGCTCTTGGCTGCTGCCCCATTCTTATATAAATTTGATGTCATGACTAAGGTTAAATATTCACTTGGGGAAAAAAGATGGTTGTAAAAAATAAGTTAGAATACAAACTTAGCTCAGTCCAGTTTTTGGCATTTTTCAATGTACCCTTTAGGAAAAGGGCCCTGGTGTGTCACTAATTTCCAATATTGATGGTGGCAATTTTCACCTAGAAACAATCTTTACATATCAGTAGTAGATTGCCTGTAATTGTAAGAGCTAAATGGTACATAAAACTGGATACACAACCACACAGACCAGTAAATGGGTCTGCTTGAAAGCAAAAGTAAACACCAACCTTAGGAAATGAAAGAAGTTAAAAGATAAGTGTTAAGGACCTTATTCTTTTTGGAGAATAAAACAAGATTTAGTAGCTTTCCACTTAATTTAAATGAAAAGAATCACTACCTTACATATTGCAGTGATAATGTAATGGGGAAAGAAAACAAAAAAGTCTTTGTACAAATGACACCTCCTATAGTTGTTGTGAAGAAACTTTTCCCCTTGGTATCTGCTAACAAATTCTAATTAATGCTGCACATTCCTTTACTGAAATCATTTAATGCGTAACAAGGGGGGGGGGTAGAAATGCTGAATGCTAGTGATTGCCCTGTTAGAATTATGGGAGTGAAAGCTGGGGCCCCAAACTTACTGTCTATTAAAGCCAAGCTTTGAAAAAGAAATGCAACCTACAAAAGCTGTCAATCTCCCTTGCCCCTAAAGCCTGGGTTCACATGGATTCAAGTGACAGCCCTCCTCCTCCATGCACAATACATCAATCTGTCTCTCCCACAAGCACCCACAGCCCATTGTGCTGGCCGCAGGTGCCTATTATGGCACCCATGGCTGCCTCCCACAGCTCCGCCCCTGAGAAACAGGAACTGCAGACAATGGAGCCCTGTGGGAAGACAGAGGTGGGTGTTAGGAGGGCTAACAGACAGATGGTAAAGGGTAGTAAGGTAGTTTCAAAACAAATGTCAAACATTCAAAATTATTGCTTTCGTGTGTCCTCCCCACCCCTTGAATTGCCTATGCTTCTTCAACCACCATCTGCCATAACTCTAAAATCACTTACCTGTTAGGATGAAGACTTGCTCCTCTTTTAATAGGTAGTGATGGAGGAGTTGACCTTCACTACTCGGTTCCCCCTATTTAAGCTCTATGTTTCTCAAGGTCACAAACGGAAGCATTTTCCTTGTTATACCAGGAAAACATACAGGGGGTATTTTACAGGGACTATTTCTAAGTATTGGGGAGGGGGGTCTGTCAGGTTTATGATTGCCTTTCAGGATTGGTTTGGGGCTTCTTTTGTCACTGCTTTGCAGGATTGATCTGGGCCTTCCCAAAACAAGGTATTTTGATTAATATAATTGTAAAAATCATAGAGTCCTAGTGTGGTGCTGCAGGATAATACACTGAACCCCAAGGTTGGTTTGAACCCCAAGGTTGGTTTGAACCACCAGGTGCCGTCGAGTCGGTTCTGACTCATAGCGACCCTGTATAGGGTTTCCGTGGAGCAGCTGATGTGCTTGACCATGTGGTGCAAACAGACCTTGCAGTCCAGCGCATTAACCCACAGCGTCACCACAGAACTCCCTAGTTTAATTAAGAAGCAGTAAATGGAAGAATAAAAACATATGTCAGACACATATATTAGTTCAAATCATTTGATTTACTTGCTTTTGCCTTTACATGGTCATCTCAATACACTACCTATTTTTATTTCCAAGATAGTTTGTCATAAACTAAAATCACACAAATAGTATTTTCACCATTGCTGCTACTACCTATTGCAAACAAAAAGTGACCAAGAAAAATCTGGCACAACTGGAAACCATCGACAAGACAACTGATGACTTGTTGGGATGGTGATTCCCCCAGAATAATGCCAGGAACTACAACCAGCCAGTTTTCCTGAAGCAAACAAGAGGGTCTTGGTTTGCTGTCAAAAACCACAAACTGGGCTTTAACTAGGGACTGTCGGAGATCCAAGCAAGTGCCTAGAGAGGCAGAGCTGAATTAGCGCAGGTGCTATGGGTTTTTAAATTACACAAGAAAAACAACCAATATGATAGGAAAGCATCTGGTAGTCTAAATGTAACACAAAATTCACTATCCCATTGTGCATGTGTGTGTGTTTAGTGACTTTGCACATTTCATTAACAACTTAAATTTGTATTTTGAACACTATTTTTGTGGCATGTTTCTTTGGCTTTCTTCTCATGTATCCTTTAAGAAAAGTTAATATTTTTAATGTATTTGTCACCAAGTACAAGAATACATGTTCCCCTCTTTCTATATATAACTGCTACTATTCTACATGCACTATTATTTTTT